CTACAGGGATCAGTGGATCGCTACCCAAGGGATTTTTTGGGCTTTTGCTAGGAAGAAATAGTACCACTATGGCTGGATTGCAAGTTTTCCTGGGGTCATAGATGAAGATTTCATGGGAGAAGTTAAAATTATGGTGCAAGCTAATGGCACTGTTGTCACACTTTCTCCAGGACAGCGTATGGCTCAGCTGGTCCTTCTCCCTCTTACTTACAAAATAGGAAAAGCAGTAGTGGTCCAGCCAACATTAATAACCTATGAATCCACTGAAACGTGTGGGGCCACGTTTACAAAATCCTGTGGGAAAGGAGGCTGTGGATCTTCTGATGCTTATTGGGTTCAACCTATAACCAAAGACAGGCCAGAGTTTCAACTGAAACTAAATGGAAAATTGTTCACAGGGTTACTAGATCTGGGAGCTGATGTCTCTGTCATTTCTGCAAAAAATGGCCATTTTATCAGGTGCAGGGATATATTCTTGTCAGTTTTGGAAAAATAACTCCCCTGATGTCCTTAATGGAACCATCAATGTAACTTTGTGTCGCTCCCCCTCTTCGTGGAGGAACGACACAGGACCCTGCGCTGTTCTTTTGTCTGCTCGGCCCTCCCCGGGTTTGCTGCTGGTTCTTCCCAGGTTGGCTACCGTCCCTTCCACCTCCGTGGAAGGGCGGTTCCCCCTGGCCACATTCCCCACTTCCGCGGGGGAGCGGCACACCGCCGGCCGGCTCTCTCGGGGGCTGCACAGGTGTTCCTTCAGATAGATGTTCCTGGTGCATGTTGTCTCTCTCCTCCTTTATAGTCCTTCCACCAATCTCAACTCTGCTACCCACATGCCGAGTACGCTGCTCTCCTCCAATCAGGAGCAGGTCCTACAGTTTATTGGTTGAACTGGAGGCAGCTGTGTAGAAGCTGTTTCCTCCTCTCCCAGTGCCATATTGTGGGAGAGCAGATGCATAGAATAAGTCTTAATTCCAGTAACTTAGTCTAGTCCGAGTTGCTCCCAGTTGCTCCCCACAACTTTGTTTGTTAATGCTTCTTTTTCTACTGAATCTAGCAATTTTGCACTTGGCCGCAACAACTAATACTTCTTCTTTTTGTGTTAATACAGCTGATTCTCCTTCTCATCTTCTTACCAGTAATCTTATAGGAATACCCTCTTCTAGGAAAGAGGACCTCAATATAACTTCCCTTGAAATAGATAATGTTACTCGTTTATTATTTACTGTACCGTGGCAATTCAACCGAACTAGCTACAGGGAAGTTCATTCATTGAATGGGCCGCAGGCTCCTAAGGGATTTTTTTTTTTGGACAGGCAGAGTGGACAGTGAGAGAGAGAGAGACAGAGAGAAAGGTCTTCCTTTTTCCATTGGTTCATCCCCCAGTGGCCACCGCAGCCAGTGCACCACGCTGATCCGAAGAAGCCAGGAGCCAGGTGCCTCTCCTGGTCTCCCATGCAGGTGCAGGGCCCAAGGACTTGGGCCATCCTCCACTGCACTCCCGGGCCATAGCAGAGAGCTGGACAGGAAGAGGAGCAACCGGGACAGAATCCGGCACCCCGACCGGGACTAGAACCCAGTGTGCCGGCGCCGCAGGCAGAGGATTAGCCTAGTGAGCCATGGTGCCGGCCGGGATGGGTTTTTTTATGCAGCCAATATGCCTTTACATTGCTAGCCCCTGATGATTTCCACAACTGCTCGTTGGGCCAGGTGGCCCCGATGCTGACATCCATATTTCCAAAGACATGATGGCGACGTTCATTACCTGAGAATTGCAATGACAATGTCATCCTAATCGGAGAAGACACTGCCTTTACCATGGTTATCTCGGTGGTAGGAGTTCCTGGATTGGCTTAAGGAAATAACCGTGGATTGCGAAAGCTTGCATGTTTAGTAACTAAGACAATTAATCTTACCGCTACTGCATTGTCCAATGTAGCCGAAGAATTGGATCAAGTCCACTCGGGTGCTTTTAAATCGTGCAGCTATCGATTATTTACTGTTCAAAGATCACATAAACTGAGAATCCGTGCCTGTGGGATGTTGTTTTAACATTACTAACAATGTGCCATATATAGAATCCGTTATTGATAAACTTAAGAGTGAAATGCAACATATGTTTATTACTAACCCCCTATCACTTGGAGGGTTTCAATGGATTCATTGGTTATTAATGTTGGCTAGACCACTACTGCTTTTCCTACTTTGTATGGGATGCTTTCCGTGTGTTTTACAACTTATGTTAACTTCGCTACAGTCTGTATGGACTGAGATCCATCATTTAAAACTTTGTACCAAACCTCCTTTGTAATCAAAATAATTGATATCTGGCCGTATATTTCATCCATCCTTGACTCTCACCTAATGTCAAGCTGGAATGGTCCTCAAAGACGGGTAAGACACTCAGCACCCCATACCCACCTAAGACAGGGCCTTAGGCAAGGTTGCCAGAGTTACCAATGACGGGTGGACGGAGATGACTGAGGGCAACCTAAGACAGAGGCCATTCTTAATAAAATAAAAAAGGGGGAGATGTTGGCAGCCTATAGACAAGTCAAGGTCGATCTTGGCTTGTGGAATTCCTGGGCTAAGAAAGTCACGTACTCCCATGTTGCAGGAGGATGTTGATCAAGAACACTGTTAGAATTGACTATGTTACAGAAAGCCCGGTAAGTGGCTTGCGTATGTTGTTATCTTCTGTGCTTCCTTGAGCTGCAGCTGGTTGTGTATAAATATCACTGAGACACTGGAATAAACGAGCCTTGATCAGTTCATTGTCTTGGCTCCATTCTCTGCGTCCTTGTCCCTCTTTTCCTCCCCACACCTCCCTTCAGGTTCTGTTCGACGGGTGCGGCTGGTCCGCACATCCCACATCCCTGTTGCTATCTGTTACCTGTCTTGTGGATTCGAGTCATGCTGGTGAGGTGTAGCTCAGCATAGTTTTCATTTGCTTCGCCCTGATGGCTAATGATGTTCAGCATCTTTTCTTCAGCTTATTGGCATGTGTCTTCTATGGAGAGTATCTAACCAAATTCTTTGTCTACTTTTAAATTACTTGCTCTTATTTTTTACTTGTAATAGTTCTACATATATTTTTTCCTTCCCCTGTGAGAATGCCCATTTTGTTTTTATTTATTTATTTGAGAGATAGAGTTATAGACAGTGAGAAAGAGAGACAGACAGAAAGGTCTTCCATCCGCTGGTTCACTCCTCAAATGGCTGCAACGGCTGGAGCTGAGCCAATCTGAAGCCAGGAGCCAGAGGCTTCTTCCAGGTCTCCCATACGGGTATAGTCCATAGCAGAGAGCTGGATTGGAAGTGGAGCAGCCGGGACTTGAACTAGCACCCATATGGGATGCCAGCACTGCAGGCAGAGGATTAAGCTACTGTGCCACAGCACCGGCCCCTCTACATATATTGTAGATACATGTCCATTATCAGATGTATGATTTGTAAATATTTTCTCCAATTCTTTGGGCTGTCTTTTCACTTTGTTGATGGTGTTCTTCCAAGCACAGGAATTTTTAATCTTGATGACATCCAACGTTGTTTTTTGTCATTTGCACTTTTGGTGTCATATCTAAGAAGCCATTGCCTAACTCAAGGTCACAAAGTTTCACACCTGTGTTTTCTTTTGAGTTTTATAGCTTAAAATGTCACATGTAGGTTTTTGGTCCATTCTGAGTTAAATGATCCACTTTGAATTTTTCATATGGTGAGACGGAGGTTAAGCTTCATTCTTAACAGGCGTAGGTATCCAGTTGGCCCAGCAACATCTGTTGACTAATGTTTCCCCATGAATAGTTTTGGCACCTTTGTGGAAAGTCAATTGAACAAATATATGAAGGTTCATATTTGGGCTCTCAATTCTATTGATTTATGTGTCTATCCTAATATGAGTATCACATGGCTAAATGTCTTAATTACTGTAGCCTTGTAGAGTTTTGAAACTGTGAAGTGTGAATCCTCCAACTTTGTTCTTTTTCAGTATCATTTTGTCTGTTCTGGGTCTCTTAAACTTATTTATTTTTTTTAGAGATTTATTTTGAAAGAGTTACAGAGGGGTGAGGGAGAGAGAGAATGAATGAGAATGAGAATATCTTCCATCCACGGGTTCATTCCCCACGTGACTGCAATGGCCGGGGCTGGACCAGGCTGAAGCCTGGAGCTTCCTCCCGGTCTCCCATGTGCGTGCGGGGGCCCAAACACTTGGACCATCTGCTGCTGCTTTCCCAGGCCATCAGCAGGGAGCTGGATTGGAAGTCCCGTTCGGGGCGCGGGATTCTGTCCCGGTTGCCCCTCTTCCAGGCCAGCTCTCTGCTATGGCCCGGGAGTGCAGTGGAAAATGGCCCAAGTGCTTGGGCCCTGCACCCGCATGGGAGACCAGGAGAAGCACCTGGCTCCTGGCTTCGGATCAGTGCAATGTGCCGGCCGCAGTGGCCATTGGAGGGTGAACCAACGGCAAAAGAAAGACCTTTCTCTCTCTCTCACTGTCCACTCTGCCTGTCAAAAAAAAAAAAAAAAAAAAAAAAAAAGGAAGTGGAGCTGCTGGTTCGTACACAAACCTTTGCCCATTTGGAATGGCGGGGTCGCTGGCGGTGGCTTTACCCGCTGCGCCACTACGCCCGTGCCTTTTAAATTTCCATATGAATTTTAGGTTCAGCTTGTCTGATTTTTGCGTTAGTCAGCTGGGATTTTGATAGGGGTTGTGGTCAATCTATTGATCAATCTTAAGTCTTCGGATCTGGGATCATGTGATGTCAGCCTTTCTTCCAGGTTTGCCAAAGAAGTGTGAAGCCCTCCGCCTCCTCTTGCTACTCCACAGAGCCATTTCCCGGCTGCGGCACGGGCAGCAGTAGCCGCACAGCGGCGTCCAGCAGCCGCGGCGACCCGGGAGGCCCGCTTGGCAACGCGGCGTTCCGGTTGCCATGGGCTACCCGGGTGTCCCGGCGGTCGGTCCAGACTGCGTCTGCGCGCGGCCGGAAGGCGGTGAGGTCGCCATGGCAACCGAGGACGCCCAGGTCCGCTACTTCCTCCTGGCGCCGCTGTGTCTGCGCGATCCTCGCCCCAACTTCTGTCGCCTCGCAGGGTGTTTTCCTGGGAGAGAACCTCTTTCCAATTTGAAAAGTCGCGGATCTTAATGCAGCTTCAAGCTATAGAGCCGTGGGCTACCTTGTAATCGATAAAAAGATATGTTTAGACCTCGGCTCAGGAGAGCGCACCCTTGGGGCTTTCTTCGCACGTAGGGGAGATTCTTGCTCTTTTCTATTCATTGTGGCGACTTTAAGTGAGGGTGGGCGGTAGGGCCAACCCTCTTGGAGCGGGCGGGAGAGGGCGGTGGCCACGGAGGTTCCCCGCGCAGTGCCTCCTCGGCTGCCCGTTGGGGCGTCGGCAGGAGTGGCCCCGACAGAAGACCATGGGGACATAAAAGGCGCGGCGTCTCGCCAAGGGGCCCGCGTGGGGAGGGTCGGCCCCGAACCCTGTTAGGGCTCAGCGCCAGGAGACCCCTAGCCCCAGAGCCCGCCCTGTCCCGGGAGGTCCCCGCGGACGCCGCCCAGTTCGGGTGGCACTCAGCGGAGCCGGGGCCGGGAAAGCCGCGTGGGCGCCAGGGGGGTCGCCCGCCTTCCAGAACTCGGCCCTCCGTGTCCGCGTGGCGGCAGGCTCCGTCCTGGCCCAGGCAGGAGGAGGAGCGGCCCCGCATCGGGGTGGCCCAGGGAGGCCGGACACAACCCGGAGCAGGAGGCTGAGGGCCAGCCAGAGGGCAGAGGCTGAAGCCAGAAACTGGAGTCGTCGGGGACAAAGTGCATTTTCCCTTTCCTTTCACTTCCTGACGGGCAAAAGCAGATTCGTGAGCCCGGGACCATCTAAAATGTTCAGACACGTAGGTAATAACGTTTGCTTGTGAGTTCCGGAGATCGGCCTGGAGAAAGCCGGCTGGAGGTGGGAGGCCAGCGGGACCGGAGGTTTGCATCTAACAGAATGTGAAGGGGACCGGATAACCTAGGACGCAGTGAGTCTGGGCTCCATGCTGGGCGAGCTTCATCCTGATCAAGGAAACGTTGGAATCCACACCGAGCTCTGTCTCTCTCAGATGCTGGGCAAATAACATTTCACAGCTACTTAGTTTTAGGCATCATCCTGCCAGTCCCTCCTCATGATGGAGTCGAGCTATCCAGCAAGTTTCCCAGGGAGCTGCCCTCCTGTCAGACGTACCCTTAGCAGAGCTGCGCATCTCAGTCACCAGTAGGCAACCTGAGCCATTCCCTTGGCGATCGGTGCCTCCCCCACAGTGATTCTGCTCACCACCTGCCCTCTCTCCCCCACCCCTAGTAGCCCATCATCCACACAAGTGGTAAAGAAAGGAGGCATTTATTACAAAGTGCAGACAGGGAGTACAGGCAGCCCATGCTTAATTCCCAACTTATCATGGGGTTTCAGGGTAAGGAGCCTTGTACACTGAGAGAGCTCAGGCCCAGTTCTCTGGTTGGTCCCCAGTGCTCCTGGCCTTTGGTCAGTGTGCGATGGCTGGCGTGTTCTTCCAGAAATTCGAATGATGATAGATTAGATTCTTGTGTGTCTGGAGCTTTCCTACAGATGGTCTTTTTAATTTTTAAAAATATATTATTTATTTCTTCAAATGGTAGAGTTAACAGAGAGAGAGAGAGGAAGAGAGAGAAAAAGGTCTAATATCATTTGATTCATTCTCCATACAGCCGCAATGGGCTAATCCGAAGCCAGGAGCCCGGAACTTCTTCCAGGTCTCCCACATGGGTGCAGGAGCCCAAACACTTGGGCCACCGCTGCCTCCTCCTCCTCCTCCTCTTCCTCTTTTTAAAAAGATGTATTTAGTTATTTGAAAGTCAGAGTTACAGAGAGGCAGAGGGAGGGAGGGAGGGAGGGAGAGAGAGAGAGGGAGGTCTTCCATCCGCTGGTTCACTCCCTAGATGGCTGCAATGGCCGGAGTTATGCTGATCCGAAGCCAGGAGCTTCTTCCAGTTCTCCCACGTGGGTATAGGGGTCCAAGGACTTGCGCCATCTTCCACTGCTTTCCCAGGCATAGCAGAGAGCTGTATCAGAAGTGGAACAGCTGGGCCTTGAACCGATGTACATGGGTGCAGGAACCCAAGGACTTGGGTCTTCTTCCACTGCTTTCGCATGCTATAGCAGAGAGCTGGATCGGAAGTGGAGCAGCCGGGTCTTGAACTGGCGCCACAGGTGCATTTTGTGTCTACTACAGCCAAAGCGCCAGCCCCCCTAAGGTGGTGTTTATCCCCCTTAGATCAGGACCTGTGGTTTAGTGAGGCTGTTTATTACAGCAGGGAGGATGGTCAGTCGTCAGGAAGAGAGGCCGAGTCTCGATAGGGGCATTTGGTAAAGGCTTATTTTCAACCTGACTGCATCGGCCTCCACCCTCCCTGCTCAGGAGTCACTCACACGGTTGGAGACCTCCCCCTGGAGGCTGCTACTCTGCCACCAGAAGTGAATTAAAGTTGCTGTCACTATGTGCCAGCCCTACCCCGCCCCCCAGCATTGTGATATGACTTCGTAAGGAAAGAAGAGCAGGACAAAGAGGAGAGAGAACACAGACTCAGCCAGAACAGGTTTGTTCACCACAAAGCTGAGAGGCACCTGTGAGCACACAGCAGCGCGTGCACCTTCCCGCCCCCACAGGCGAGGTGCTTGTATAGTGTCAAGTGGCCTGGAGAGCCGGCGGGGTCTGGGCTAAAGCTGGGTTGCTGAGATAGCTGGGAGAGCTTGAGCTAGCGGGTATGGTTTCAGGGGTTTGATTAAGGGTGGAGCGGGGAGAGCCTGGACTAGGGCTGAACTCTCAAGATAGTGGTGTGGCCATCGGTCAGGGCTGGGCAGCGCTGAGCCAGCTAAGGCGAAAGCAGGGAGGTGGGGCCTGCTTGCCAGCACGCAGGGGGAAAGTCTGTTTTGGCCTTCACAGATCTAAGGTTTTTGTCCTTGCTTCATCAGGCTTTGTCTCTCTGCAGTGTTCCCTCACTCACCCTTTCTTTGGATGGTTTAGGAAGATAAAAGATAAAATGTTTGTAACTTTGAAATATTCATGACAGGCTTCCATGTTAGGTCTTTGTTTTGCAGTGTTTACAAAGGGCAATTGTTCCAACTTCTGGTATTCTCAAGTAGGCAGGGACTTGCCTTAAAAACAAAGAGCAAAAAAAAATCACTTTTGTATAATTAGTTTGAAGTAGTTTGGAATAGTTTTTTAGTGCTTTACTTTGTTATGGGTAATGTTTTTTGTTTGGATTTCTTTATTTTTAAACAGTGGCTATAGAGGTTTGAATTGCTCTTAAACATGTTAGTTTTAATTCTGTATGTTTACAATGCATGTATCTTTGCTTATCATATAAAACTCTTAAAAATATTTATTGATTTATTTGAAAAACAGTTATAGAGAGAGGGATAAAGAGAGGGAGAGATTATCCATCCCCTGGTTCACTTTCCAAATGGCTACAATGGCCAGTGCTGAGCCAGTTCCAAAGCCAGGAGCCAGGAACTTCATCTGGGTCTCCATGTAGGTGGCAGGAGCTGAAGTATTTGGACCATCTTCTGCTGCTTTCCCAGGTGCATTAGTGAGAAGCTAGATCAGAAGAGGAGCAGCTGGGACATGAACCAACGCCCACATGGGATGCTGGCATTGCAGCAGCAGCTTATTCCACTGCATCACAACACTGGCCCCAACAGACAAGATTTTTAAAAAAAATAATTTGTAACACCACAAAGAAACATGGTACATATAAAGGTCCCTGATTAATTCAAATAAATCTTTTCCTTTAATAAAAATGGGAGAAGGAAGAATACTATCACTATAGTATTCTAAAACTGCAACTCTTCCTTGATAAGGTGACTGGTTTTAATCTCAGTACTGCACAAGCAGCTGCCTTAGGAAGAATCTTCGGGACAGACCTTTTTTTTTTTTGGGTGTAAGAACTTCTTTTGGGAACATGTTGATATGCTGTTTATCACAATAAGCAACACAAGAAATGCCAAGGGAAAGCTGACGGTTGGCAAAGCATGCAAAGTCCCCCGTGCCCACCCTCCCCAACTGAGAAGGAATCCTGAGGACGAGGACTGGAGAAGGAAGCTACTTTATCAAGCAGCTTAGACGTGAGACCCCAGCTGGGCTGGAGGGGTGTTCCGGACAGAAGTTCCGAACAAGGTGTTTTCTGCCCAGGGTGGTGGAAAGATGTGACACATCGGACGGATTCAGTAGGGAGCAGACAGAGGAGCTGGCTTTCTAACATTCCTTTATGTATGTTTTAGACACTAACATCTCAGGTGTCCTGCTGATCATCCCAAAGACTTGTGAGCGCGCTCCAACTTTGTAATCAGTGAGCGGCTCCAGCTGGGCTGGCAGGTGGGCAGTGGAAAGCAGAGAGGGTGTGTGTGTGTGTGGAAATGGAGAGAACTCAAGATGGCATTGCTGTGGTTTTGTTGTAGGCGAGGTGAGGTCTAAAATCCCTATTCCAGGCTCTTGCCTTTACCTAGAAAGCATGTTTCCTGGAGGTAGGGGACGCGGGGAACAGCTTTCCTGGCTACTCATCTGTCAGCTCTCCTTAGGCCAGAGCACACCCGCCTCCTTCAGGAGGGAACCGACTGTAAGTTCATTGGCTGGGTGGGGCCTGTGGCTGCGAAAGACGCAGAAACCTCGGGATCTCGCACCATCTCCCAACTCCCGTGTTGCCCGTGGTCAGTACTTTGGGAGTGGAGTCCTTCACCTCCCTCTAGGAGGTCAGACAACTGTCAGCTTCTCTGCCTTTGCGGGATGCTCTGGGCAGCTAAGAAGGGAGACTCTGCTAGAGGCTGGAAGTGGGTTCTGTGGCCATGGGAAATGAAGATGCCAGGATTCCCGACCTCTTCCGGGGCTGAGTTGCCCAGTCTGCGTGGTCTCGGTCTGTCTGTCTCTTTCTTTCTTTCTTTCTTTCTTTCTTTCTTTCTTTCTTTCTTTCTTTCTTTCTTTCTTTCTTTCTTTCTTAATTTTATTTATTTACTTAAGAGGTAGAGTTGCAGACAGTGAGAGGGAGAGACAGAGAGTAAGGTCTTCCATCTGATGGTTCAACCCCCAAATGGCTGCAACGGCTGGAGCTGCGCCGATCTGAAGCCAGGAACCAAGTGCCTTTTCCTGGTCTCCCACGTGGGTGCAGGGGCCCAAGGACTTGGGCCATCTTCTACTGCTTTCCCAGGCCATAGCAGAGAGCTGGATTGGAAGAGGAGCAGCTGGGACTGGAACTGGCACCGTAGGCGGAGGATTAACCTACTATGCCATGGCACCAGGCACTTAGTCTCTGTTTCTTGCTTGCTCTCAGGTTTAGCTGGAAAAGGGGATTTTTTTTTTTGACAGGCAGAGTTAGACAGAGAGAGAGAGACAGAGACAGAGAAAAAGGTCTTCTTCCATTGGTTCACCCCCCAAATAGCCGCTACGGCTGGCACGCTGTGCCAATCCGAAGCCAGGAGCCAGGTGCTTTCTCCTGGTTTCCCATGCGGGTGCAGCTCCCAAGCACTTGGGCCATCCTCCACTGCCTTCCCGGGCCACAGCAAAGAGCTGGACAGGAAGAGGAGCAACCGAGACAGAACTGGCGCCCCAACCGGGACTAGAACCCGGGGTGCCGGCACCGCAGGCAGAGGATTAGCCTAGTGAGCCACGGCACTGGCCCAAAAGGGGATATTTTTGAAGAAACAGGATTGTGATGAATGCTACACCAACCTTTCTCATGAGACACTCACCATGTAGTTGGAGAGATGAAATAAAGCAATTTCAGCGATTATTAAATGTACCATCAGTGGTAGAAGAATGTATACTTCAGAAACATCTGGGCCAATCTGAGAGGATCATGGGAGCTTGCCTGCAGAGGGAATTATTGGGCTAAATTTTGAAAGATGATTAGGAATTACTCAAAGAGGATGAAAGGGCTATGTGGATTGAAGGCTATTCCAGGCAGAACAACATCATGAAAAAAAGATGTAGAATGGTGAAAAGCCCACATATGC